ATGGATGAATAAACAAATGGGCAAATGAATTAATAACTACAAAAAATTTGACATGCATTATAAAGCTAGCTCTAAATGTGATCAAATGTAGTAAAAATATCTTTACCACTCTTTTCATTGCTGTGTGCTGATCAAGCTGAACAGTCGCGAAAGGGAAATTGGGCAATATGCTCTCATCAATCATATAAATTGGTCAGTACCTTTACATTCTCTGATTGGCGGCAGTGTATTGCCCTATTTCCCTATTGCGACTGAGTGTCTCGATCAGTGCGTAGCAGTTAAAAGAGTTATAAATAGCTGCAAAACTCCAACGCCCAACTTCCGTGGTTGAAGATACACCTTGAAACTTTATCTGGCGTTCCCTGCTGACGCACGTGACATCATGAGCCAAAAGGTCAACATTGTACGTGAAGAAAAACTTTCCAGAAATTTCTTTAAAATATTGCCTAATTACGAACAAAATAACGTGAAACATGTTTAAAAAATATCAGTATGATTAATCTAGCCTTTTGAGATCGAAAACATTGCAATCCAGAAGAAAAAAGCTTTATTACCGATGGCAATATCAGATGACTTCCGCCATCTGGCTTCAGGAAAAACTTTATTACTTTTTGATTTTGAATCACACAAAAATCCCGACTTCTACGAGAAATTAATATAGTAAAAAGAAGAAGCTAAAACCTCTTAATTTAATATAAATTATGGTTTAAATTGGAAACGCTGGATGGTTTATAAGTTATATTATGAAGGATGCTTACTGTTTGTAAAAAGAACGTTTGCGAAGAAGGCTACGATAAAAAAAGATACGATAAAAAGCTAAGTAAAATATACTATAGAAATCATGTCGAAAACAAATAATTCTGCAAGATAAACCTAACGTTACTAAAATATTTCAGTGGTCGAGATATACTTTTTTTAATTATAGTCATTGCGTATTAAATTAAATGAAAATTAAATATCTGCAGCTTAGCAGTAAGTTTCGTTTTATCGAAATTCGTCGCAAATTATTAGGTTTACTCACCGTATTATCTTGGTAAAGGTATTTGTAGCTCTTATAGAAGTTTTGATTTTCAGAATGATAGCTTTTTTGGAGGAGCTTATTCAGAAAATTCCAAAACAGCCGGAGTTACTAATGTCAGCCTTCGAACGGCTTCCGAAGGTACATCCTTTGACCGTATATCCACAGGAAGCCCGAAAAATAAGAATGTGGCATTGGTGTATGGGGAGGAGGGGAGGGGAAGGGAAGGGGAAGTGGTTACTAGGCTAGGGAGTAGAGATGTTTCAAAAATGATAAAACTGAAATTTCAAAAACAATACGATTTTGAAGACAAAAACAAAACTAGCAAGCTGTATGACGATGGCTAGTGATCGTGGTGAGATTGTGGTGGTGGTGTTGAAGTGGTTATATTCATAACACATAAAGACCTCCTCATCTCGTGCATAATGTGCCTGGGGGGGTACTCCCATATATGGACTATACGGGGATGATCCGCTGAACAGGGTATTGTTTTTTGAACTTCTTGTCATAAACAGGGTATTCACTCAAGTTCCAAGTTCTTCCTGATTTCCCTGTCATATTCAGGGTTTCTACTTTTGTATTGACCGAAACTGGTTATTATGGTCTTAAAAAAACGATACGCGAGATGACATGATAATTGAAACAGGAACTCAGTGCAATAAATTATATCTTTTGTCATAAACAGGGTCTACAAATTCGATTTTTTTGTCATAAACAGGGTACCCCTTTCAGAATCCCAGCGGAACACCCCTACCCAA